CTTAACAATCGCAGTGATTCACTTCACAACTATGGCAAGAAAGGTCGTAAAATGGGGGCAAAACTCACTTAACAACTGTCTCGCTTAGCAACAGAAATTTTGGGGTCAATTGTGCTCATAAGTCAAGGACTACCTATATCAGAGTGTCAAACTGATGGCCCATGGGATGGATGCATCATACGTAGGCCATGCCCATCCTAGCTCCGTGAAGGCAAAAAACGTCATGATACATCACATGACATCAATGTGATGCAGCGAGTTTGACACCCGTGACCTATATATTCTTGCTTGCATCTCACCAACTTGGGTTTCCCCAGTGCCCTGACATGGGCCCTAACTTAGAAAATAGAATAAAGACATAGTAACATTGATACGTTGAAAATATATTTGAGTTGGTCTATGAATTTGTTCCCAGCCTTCTTCTTAATTTTAAGAGGAAGGGACTGCATTTGTAAAAGAAGAAGGGTCAGTGTTGAGTGATCCTGAGTGGTAACTTACCTTGTGACCAAAGCATTACAGCAAGAACGCACAAAACAATTTTTCTCATTATTTTTCTGGAAATGGATTGCCTGCAGTCAAAGGTTGGAAATTAGGGTCATTAGCTGTTCGGAGTTTCCTTTCTTTTGATTTTCAAAAAAGATTGTGCATATTAATACATACCATAATACAATTTAACTTGTAAGATTAGCCTATGTTGCATATATTCTGAGGAGTTTTATTTCTTAAAATAATTTAAATTGTATATTCTTGGAAAAATGATTGACTTTGTTTTACTCACTGGGAAAAGGATACTATTTTTAACTATTACATAAGGCAGTTTTACTTGAGACACTTTACATCCTACAATGATACTTTTAATGTTATTAAATAACATCTGCCTATCCCAAGTTATTGTGAAAGACTTGAAAGAGAGATAAAATGCCAAACCCAGTCTAAACATCTGGCTGAACCATAATAATTATTATAATTACAATAATGCTGCAATGACAATAAATAGTAAAACCATGTTTTCTCTGGAGAACCAAACCTGTATTTCATCATCTAATTTAGGACATAAGGTCCATTACTCAGTTTTAATTTTGTACTGTACATTTATTACATAAATCGGCAACAAATTAATTAAACTTAATGTCAAAGAAGAGGTGAACCTTACCTTTTGTATAGCTGACGTGAAACAAGGTTTTGTTTTCCTACCGCTATGTACGTTTGCAAGTATATGTGGTTGTCCTCTTCTCATTGTACTAGGAATTGCTTGGGTAACTGACGATTAATTTGTTTTTGCATATGAAATGCAAAGGGTCTAATGGTGGTAAACATCTTGGAACTCTCCTTGATAGAATTTTCTGCATAAATCAACAGCATCAAAATTCTCCATGCTTTAAAGATGATTGCAATTGTACGCAGCGTTCCATTACATTCTGTTCTGACTTCTAGGGCAAATTATGTATGTTAAAAAGGAAACTGAACACCGAATTAATGGTCTGCATCTGGACAAATCTCTCATCTACAGAACTAATGGCAGTATCAAATCTAGGGAAATAAAAATTGATGTTCAAATTTTGCTGGGGGGTCTGATATAGTTTCACCTGCTCCTTCGTATGAGATTGGCTTTTGTTCCTCCTTAATAGCATTACTTTTAAATTGAGTTTCCATTCCTGCTTCCAAAGAGAGGAATGTGCATTTTCCAATATTTTCTTAAATTTTTCATTATTTCTGAAGTCACCCAGATTTTTTTGGTGTGTGTGTTCCAAATAATCAACAGTTTCCTTACCATTAACAATTTCTGCTGAAGTTCCTGTAGCATATTCTTTCCCCAGTAGGGACTGGGTTATCTTATTATCTTAAACAAAGCTGCTGAATGATGATTGGCAGATGCAATAAGGCTGAAGAAAGGCTGACATTTCTTCAGCCCTATTGCCATGAGATAATCCTAGACATGTGGACGCGGTAGCTCAAAGGGATGTGATGGCTCAGTGGCTAAGACGCTGAGTTTGTCGATTGAAAGGTCGGCAGTTCAGCAGTTCAAATCCCTAGCACCACGTAATGGGGTGAGCTCCTGTTACTTGTCCCAGCTTCTGCCAACCTAGCAGTTCAAAAGCATGTAAAAAATGTAAGTAGAAAAATAGAGACCTCTTTTGGTTGGAAGGTAACAGTGTTCCGTGCGGCTTTGGCATTTAGTCATGCCTGCCACATGACCATGGAGACATCTTCAGTCAGTGCTGGCTCTTTGGCTTTGAAATGGAGATGAGCACCACCCCCTAGAGTCAGGGAAAACTAGCACATACAGTATATGCGAGGGGAACTTTTACCTTTACTTTAATCCTAGATATGGGCTTTTACCCTTGTCTGATCAGATGTTCTCTTCATTATTCTTCCAGGGGTACTCCAGTATTTTAATCTCCCAGAACTCCTTGATAAACCAAAGTACCAACTAAGAATCCAAGAATCCAAAGCTCCCAAGATTCTGGGCACTTGCAAGGATGCAGTTACACAGAGTGATATGAACTCTATATAAACTACAAACATTAAGGAAAATGATGAAGATATGCACATCTGCATCCACTGCCAAAGAGTCAAAGAGAGAGAAAGTGGTTGCATTATTCCAATCCCACTCTCGCCAGAGATCATCAACAAGCATGACCAATGCCATTTCGATCCAATAACCTGTTGTGGCCAGTGTGCGGCCTGTGCAACTAGTAGCTGATTCAGACAGTGAGGAGGCTGGTGTGGTGCTGCGCAAGCAGCCTGTGCAGCTGCCACTTGAGTCGGACAATGAGGAGGCTGGAGAAGATATAGTACCAGAGGTGGGGATTCAGCCAGGGCCTTCAGAACCTCCAGAAGCTCCCTTTAGTGAAGAGGACGAAGAGGATGAGCCTCTTCTTGATGCACAGGTGTACAGAGCTGCCAAAAGGCAGGAGTGGCTCCTCAGGAGGAGGTCTCCTCGAGAGTAAGGCTTGGGGCTAATTGGCCACTCCCTTAGCCTATTTAAGGAGGAACGTGGACTGAAACAACTCCGTTCACATACCTTCGTGTCTTGTCTTGCTTATCTTATCAGCTTCCTGTAAATTGCTTCTGGGCATTCTGCCAACCTCAGTAAGCTTTCAGTATTATTCTTTGAATTCTTGGTGGCTGTTAATTTATTTATTTATTTTATTTATTTGTTTCCATTTCTATACCGCCCTTCTCCAAATAGGACTCAGGGCGGTGAACAGCCAAAGTAAAAAACAGAACATACAAAATTTAAAAACAGTTTAAAATAATTAAATATTTTGGCCGTAAATTAAAACAACCCAATTTAAAATCAATTTAAAATTTAACTCAAGCCAGCCCAGCTAGTTGAAATAAATAGGTTTTCAGGGCCGGATGAAAAATCCGGGGGTCTGTTATTGTACGTATGTCTGGGGGGAGGTTCTTCCAGAGGGTGGGCGCCGCCACAGAGAAGGCTCTCCCCCTGGGGGTCGCCAGCCGACATTGTCTGGCGGACGGCACCCTGAGAAGGCCCACTCTGTGCGAGCGTACTGGCCGGTGGGAGGCTATTGGTGGCAGAAGGCGGTCTCGTAAGTACCCCGGCCCTAAGCCATGGAGCGCTTTAAAGGTGGTCACCAACACCTTGAAGCGCACCCGGAAGACCACCGGGAGCCAGTGCAGCTCGCGCAGGAGAGGTATCACATGGGAGCGCCATGTGATTAATTAATGTTAATTAATTAATGTTAATTAATTAATGTTAATGTGATTAATTAATTAATGTTAATTAATGTTAATTAATGTTAATTAATGCAGTTAATTAACATTCATTGTTGTAAAAAACTGGTTTATTTAGTAAACTAAGGTTTGAACGGACTTTGTGTGTGCTGCATTCTTTGGGGTCCATAGCTGGGGCAGAACATAACCAACCCTGAATCCTGATTGAAAGGAGTCCAGATAATCTATTTTATTCAAGACCCTCTAAAGCTGCCAGGCAACCACCTTTTTCACCACCTTCCCTAAAAAGGGATGATTGGAAACAGGATGAAAATTGTCCAAGCAGGTGGGTTCAAGTGATGGCTTTTTAAGGAAGGGGTGAGCCAGGGTCTCTTTAAAAGGTCTGGAAATGTCCCCTCCTGTAATGATGTGTTAATCACTGCCTGAATTCACCTGCCAGTCACTGTCTTGGAGTGTCTTTCTTTCACCATCCAAGGGGGATGAGGATCTTACCACAGGTGGTGGTGCTGACACTATTGAAGACCTTGTCCATTTTCTCAGGTTCAACAGTGTCCAACTGTTCCCAGATAACTGGCCAAGACTACTCCTCAGGCATGTTGCATGAACTTGCTCCACACATGGGAATGAATCTGAGTGACTTTGTCAGAGGTTGAACAAATTCTTCTGCACAGCCCTGAAGATGATCACGTGAGCACACCCTGCCCCCCCCCCCCGTCCCAGGAGGGGCCAGATGATCTGGAACAGTGACACTCTGAGGACAAAATGAGCGAGGAATCAAAAGCTGTTTCCCACTCTTACCACCACAAGGTAGGCCTTAATAGCACCTCTATGTTGTGTCTGATTGGAGTCATTCTTCGTTGATTCCTAGAAGGGCATAGTTCTGTTAGGGGAACATCCCCTTCTCGGCACACCCAGAGATTGGTTCTATATGCCAGGGTGGCTCCACAACCCCACTAAAATGGTGGGCAGGAGACAATTTATTGTAGACCAAGTTGACATTTAAAGGCAGCATCTGAAGACCAGGGCTTCCCCAAAAATCTGCTAACCAGCTATTGAAGTTGGTTAAGAGTAAGGAAAATGATGGAGATATTGCTGTGAAATAGTGTTAAGGCTCTTCTTTTCCTTTTCGTCTTAAGTTTTGATAATTGGCATAGTGTTGTGATGTTTAGGGATATTATGTACACTTGTGTTAGCTTTTATGCAACATTATCAATACGATACCTGAGGAAACTCCAAAAACATTGATTTAGTGTAGACACGAGATAGACCAAACAAGCACTTTTTCACAGTACACCATGAAAGATGCCATGTTTTATTTATTTTCCCATTCATATAGGACGGAATGAGAATATTACTGGGCAGCACATTCCAAATCGCTCTTCAATTTCAGACAATTCACATCCAGTACAATCAGTTGAGGCCAATGATATCATTGAGAAGGTCTCCAGTTTAAAGTGAACGCTAACGGTTGCATCTGTCATAGCCACAACAAGTGGCACTAACTCCCTGTACTGAATTCAGAAGTTGACACTCATACTGAGAGCCACACCTCTTGGCATATCTTGGTGGCTGGAATCCTACAGGAAAAAAAAAAGAACTTGTGATTGCTTATGGAAAAAATAAATCTAATTTTCCACTTCACCAACATTGTCCCTTGTTAACAATGGAAGCTCCTAGATAGATTACCCTTTCTTCATTTCGTCAGGAAGCTGGGTCAGGCATGTGGCACATCCACATTATTCCAAATTCTTGCTTCTTTCATGTGAAAAATGTGTTTCACATGAATAGCAAGACTGAGACTGAGGCAAGGTGGTGAGATCTGAAAGTGACCTATCTGCTCCCCTGAAAACAACCCTGATATCCGAAAAAATCAGCAGGCTGTCTGGTAATGCATTGGCAATCCCACTATTAAGCATTTTGCTTGCACTATCATCTAAGTTTTGTAGAGCAGCCTGAACTTCAAGTAATGAGTAACATTGCATAAACTGTTGATAAAGAATTGTCCCTCATTGTTCTTCTTGAGCAATACCTTTGTTTCAGGGTCCAGATTAATCTAGTCAGTTCTGTTTGTTTGGATACCTGAGACACCAATGTAAATTTTGATGGGCAGTGGAAGCTAGGTATCCTAGGATTTTTTCAGTCCTGAAAGGTGCATCTTGGGACAAACGATTCCTAGACAATGGCTGGCTCAATAACAATGATAACAACCTATTGCCCAGGTTCACAGAGAAATAGAAATAAAATCCACCCTAGGACTCCTGGCTCTTGAGGTGAAGGGTGAGGTGACTCCTGGACCTCTTGAGCCCTTGCCTTGATAGAGCTAGTAAAGATCAGGACTTGGAAAACAATATACCCCGCAACCACTTCCAGGAGAAAATCCAGTCATCATATTGATGGGGAAAAAACATTTTCTTTTGAATTTGGGAAATGGGTTAACATACTGAGTTCATTTCAGATTCTAGCCAAGGGTCATTATGTTCCATGTTTGAAGATCATTGATTTGACTCATTTACGTGTGGGACCTTCCAGAAGGTGACTATGTGCATTCCATCCATCTATTACTGAATGAGGCTGTATACAGCCTTTGAAAGAGGTGCTTTGCAACTGAAATGGAAAATAGCATCCTTCATAGAACTGCATCTTTTGTAAGGTTTGTGCAATTTGGAAACTTGGAATTTTCTCCCAACTGATTCCAATCCATTAATGATTCTCCATAGCCTTTTTTCAAAGCTCATTGAAGTCCCCCTCCCAAATTAAAAAACTAAATATAATTATTTTTTTCACACTATTATACTTACCAACTCCTGCAAAGAATATGGTCATACATCGGTCTTGATTACCAGAGCAGGTAGTTGTGCTAAAGCACCTTCCTCCATTGGGACAATAATAACATTCCAGAGCATCCACAGCTGAAAGAGAGGAGGCAAAACAGCAACTCAATCTCTAATTTCCATCAGCTATTTTTAGCTAACATACTGCATGAATGGGATTTGCGAGTAAAAATGCTGGAAATTATTTGCATCAAAGATTTTGGAAATTTCAATATCTCAAGTTTCAAATTCAGTAAGATTTGAGAATTCAGACCTCTGTGGGGGGAAAAAATGGCAAACTGAAGACAGCTCTGCTAAAAGTGGAACTGCTGACCATGGCAGAATGAAAAGCCAGAGAGTAGATGATTCTTTGTAATTCCACTCCAGAAAAACAAAGGGCTTGAGATCGCCCACAACAACTCCAGATAGTTCCTGCTTACAAGAGAATCACAAAACAGTGTTCTCCGGCATGTTTATGGCTCCAGGAGAAGAGGGAATAGCCATCTTGCTCAAACTATTAGAACGTTGCGTTTGCATATTTTCTTTTCAAAACATATTTAAAAATAGTTAAATGCTTTTCAGCTGTTTGGAACTTTGGGATCAACAAGTCTAAAAACACCAGATGAGTCTTCTACCCCTCATGAAAGAACTGTTAAATACAAGTTTAAGATTTTTTTTAAAAAAATTAACAAACAGCAGAACTACCACTGCGCGAGCTGCACTGGCTCCTGGTGGTCTTCTGGGTGCGCTTCAAGGTGTTGGTGACCACCTTTAAAGCGCTCCATGGCTTAGGGCCGGGGTATCTACGAGACCGCCTTCTGCCAATAGCCTCCCACTGGCCAGTACGCTCGCACAGAGAGGGCCTCCTCAGGGTGCTGTCCGCCAGACAATGTCAGCTGGCGACCCCCAGGGGGAGAGCCTTCTCTGTGGTGGCACCCGCCCTCTGGAACGACCTACCCCCAGAGATACGCACGATACCAGACCTCCAGATTTTTTGTCGGGCCCTGAAAACTCATTTATTTCATCTAGCCGGGCTGGCTTGATCCCATCCGTTAGGTTTTAATTTGAAATTGGTTTTAACTGGATTGTTTTAAATTGTGGGCCAAAATTATTTAATTACCTTTTAAACTGTTTTTTAAATTTTGTATGCTCTGTTTTATCTCGGCTGTTCACCACCCTGAGTCCTGCTGGAGAAGGGCGGTATAGAAATCAAATCAAATAAATAAATAAAATAAAATAAATAAGAAGGATGGTTACAATTTTGATTTGGAAACTTATAAATGAAATAAAGGTCCATACTGATTTGAAATAAGAGTTTGGAATTAATTGTAAGAATTCTTCCTGTGGGAAAATGCTTTTGCTTTGAATTCTTTTGATAGGATGAGACTTTGAAGCTTGGGCAGTAGGGGTAAGTAGAACAAACTAAAGGTTATAATTAAAGAGAAGAACACTTAAATTTGACTTGCTTTTTCAGAGCGGAGTAAAATATTTTAACATTGAACATGTTGAAGAATATTTTGCAACAACGGACCCAGATGTTAATTTTAAGAGTTAGTACTGATATAGATAGACTGTGTGAGGTGGGATATGGAAAGTTGGGAGCATTGTTGTACTTTAAGAAAAACTGGTTAGTTATTAAAATTGTTTACATTTGTTGAGAAGAGGGAAGTCATTTCTTTATATATTTCTTTTCTTTTGCCTTACTATTCCCTCTTATTTTTATTTTTTCCGTTTTCTTTTTTTCCTGCATTTTCATTTTCTATCTATTCTTTTTTTACTTTGTATGTTATTTTATCATTGATAGTATAAATTTTAATTAAAATTACTATAAAAAATTCAAATATGAAGCTTCCTCTTCAAGAATTTAACAATTTTAAATATATATATTTTCTTCTGACATTGTATTATCATTGAAAATATAAATTTTTGATAATATTAGAAATTTCAGCTATGAAGCTTCTCTTTAGGAAGTTGATAATTTAAAAAAACAATGTATATTTTCTTTTGTTACACATTCTTCTCAATGTGTTACATGTCATACAATATTCACAAAGGGGGCCAGGAAGGCAGTTTATACATACACAAGCGTATGTGTCAAATATGCTGATGGGGAGAGGGGGGAAACACAGATTGGAATCAGAATTGTACATTTACAACTTTCCTTCCTAGCAGATTAAAAATTACATTGTTGTTATTTCTGATATCTTTTAAGAAATAGAGAAGGGATTTTAGACAGATGACCTATGGACCAATACTAGGTGGAGCCAATACATAGCCTAAAGCACAGTTTATAGTCAGAAGCAGGGGACAAAAACATTAAAAGATAAGGAAACTGTCATATTTAAATAATATGCTTTGAGTTCTTTGACATTCTTTGATCATGAAAGTTTAAAAAGTCAAGTCCATATTGTTTTAGGCAATGCAGGAAAAAGATTCATCTTTGACTTAGCTCTATTTTACACAACCCTTTAACCAGTGGTGAAATCCAAATTTTTTTACTACCGGTTCTGTGGGCGTGGCTTGGTGGGCATGGTGTGGCTTGGTGGGCGTGGCAGGGGAAGGATACTGCAAAGTCTCCATTCCCATCCCACTCCTGGGGGAAGGATATTGCAAAATCTCCATTCCCACCCCACTCTGGGGCCAGCCAGAGGTGTTATTTGCCGGTTTTCCAAACTACTCAAAATTTCCGCTACCGGTTCTCCGAACTGCTCAAAATTTCCGCTACCGGTTCTCCAGAACCTGCTGGATTTCACCCCTGCCTTTAACAACTGGTTCTTGCAATTGCAGTAAAGCACTTCAATTGTACTCTGAGGAAAAGGAGGAGAGAGTACACTAGCTTATTATTGGGAAGAATAGCCTAGGAATGGGCAGAATTGGCCAGTGCTGGCCATTGTGCCCAAAGTACTACCAAATCTCCCTTTGATCTCAAGCATGCTTCTGCTAGCTTCTGCATGTAGGACCTCCAATCTAGGACCTCTCAGTTTTAAAAGGAAGGGACTGGGTCTGTGATCATGACTGATAACTTACCTTGTGACCAAAGCATTACAGCAAGAACGCACAAAATTATTTTTCTCATTGTTTTTCTGGAAACGGATTGCCTGCAATCAAGAGTTGGAAATCTGGGTCACTAGCTGTTCAGAGAATTTTTTTAAAATTTTCACAAAAGGTTCTGTGTTCAATGAACCTGGAAGACCCACCAAAATACATAACACTATTTAATATTCCAAGCTATTTGATGTTAAGATCAATTAAAACGTATATCCTAGCAATACCATTATCTTAACTGTGCTTTACACTCTTTGTTACATTATGTTTTAAGAATTCTCTATATTTATAATGGAAAATGCTCCTCATAAAAAGATCCTGTTTTTTCCATATTAAAGATAGGAAAGTCTCCAGCCCAGCCAATGTTAATACTGTAGATGCTGGAATGTGTGGTCCACTATCATCTGGAAACAGTGCAACTGCCCTCCCTAATTCTTGCTATAGAATTTTTCTCTAATATATTCAGGCTAAGAAATATGAAATAATTCAAAATAATCATCATCATAATAGTTATAACACAGCAATAACATTGAAACCTTGTTTTCTTCTGCATAGTAAGCTTAAGCCTCTAATTTAGAATATAAGATATGTAAGTAAGAATTCTTTCCTGTATATTTCTTGTATAAATAGCACATAATGAATAAAAAATATGTGTAAGAAAAGCTGACTCTTACCTTTGATACAGCTGAGGTAAAAGCGAGCTATGGTTTGGTGCCTGGTGGTACAACTGCAAGTATATATATATAGAGAGAAAGAGGTGCTTTCTCCTCTCCTCCAATCCCTTATTCTGCAATAATTGTGATGTAGGAGTTTTTAACAGAAAGGGAAATTCATTTCTTACTCAATGGGTAAATAACTTTGTAAAGATCATAATGCAATGTTCTGGACTTGCAAGTACAGCCAAGTGGTTTTGTTTATTTATGGAGTAAACTGATAAGCTATCAAGATTACTGCTGATGCTCTGACTGCAATTTTTTTCTCCACCCATCCCTCTAAGGTACTCTAAATATTTGTTCTCCTGTTAAATATGTACCGTGGGAAGAATTTATAAATTTGTATAACTTGTAGAAATATATAGGGAATCATAGGTTAACTAACCCAGGACTTCACAGAGTTAATGATCAACAGCCTCTGAAATCCTTTAAACACAAACATAAGAATTAAACACTTATTTCAAGTTATAAATATACACAAGCAAACACACAAAACTCAATTAACACAATGTAAACACAGTTATAATGCTCACAGTTCAAATGAACAGACTCAACCCAAATCACTTGATCTAATCAACCCTTTCTCCAGCTCAACATATACACATGCCCATGCCCCTCAAGTGTCATCCTAGAATTAGTACGTACACATTTCCACACTTAGGACAAGCTCCCCTATAAAACAGCCCTTCTGTACCACGTTTTCTAGTATCTACCCCCATAGGCAAACCTCTTTGCTTTTGGGAATAAAATAATTCTCTTTGCCTCACAACTGTCTGGATTTCATTTTTTAATTTATTATTGCATAACTCTGGCTCCAGTTGCAACCCCAAATTATTCTTCTGACAATACTATATGGCCACTTCCTCTTTGAATTAAATTGGCACAAACACACAAATCTGTGTTTTACTTAACTGGGGCTTATTCAATAAGCCAAAGCTGGTGGGCCCATACAAGACATTTTGTCATGGTTTCATGGTTTCCCATCTTGGTTAAACTAGCAGTGAGGTGATACAAGAACCACAGTCTGAGCCAGACACAGACCTGGATTATGGGGCCATTGCTGTTGAGAGTTGGGGATAAGATGAAACAGCATGTAATTCAGTTAATCCACCAAAGAAACCTGACAGACTTTTTAACACCACCCATAGCTTAGCTTGCTATGTGAACCTGGCTTCTGTCTAACCTCAGGCTATTCTCAAGTTTATGTTGGCTGTTCCACTGTGTGAACGGACTTAATCACACTAATGTATGTATATATTTGCAAATTATCTATTATGTTGATGGGAAGAGAAGAGGAGAGGAGAGGAGAGGAGAGGAGAGGAGAGGAGAGGAGAGGAGAGAGAAGAGAGAGAAGAGAAGAGAAGAGAAGAGAAGAGAAGAGAAGAGAAGAGAAGAGAAGAGAAGAGAAGAGAAGAGAAGAGAAGAGAAGAAGATAACTTTATTACAATCTACCCGCAATATAATACCTTATGCCACCAGACTTGAAATTTTGGGCTTAGACAACTTAGAACTATGCCGCCTTTGGTCTGACCTAAGCATAGCACACAAAATTATCTGCTACAATGTCCTACCTCTCAATGACTACTTCAGCTTCAACCACAACAATACATGAGCAAACAATAGATACAAACTTAAGGTACACTGCTCCAAATTCGATTGCAGAAAATATGACTTCAGCAACAGAGTGGTCAGTGCCTGGAATGCACTACCTGACTCTGTGGTTTCTTCCCCGAACCCCCAAAACTTTAATCTTAGACTGTCTACTGTTGACCTCACCCCATTCCTAAGAGGTCTTTAAGGGCATGCATAAGCACACCAGTGTGCCTACCGTCCCTGTCCTAATGTTCCCTTTTATTCGTATCCATCTTATGTATTCATAATTACGTTTATACTTATATCTGTTATCTAATACATGCTTGATGAAATAAATAAATAAAAATAAATCAATAAAAACATACATCACTGTTTACAATATATTAAAAAATAGTACTGACATTAATAGTGGATAATAACATCCATGTTAAGAAAATACGTGTTCTCAAACAGTTAGTGTCACTCCCTAGTTTACCTGAATGGAGACCCGATAAGTATGCGAGTAAATATAATTTTCCAAAAATTGTTAGAGATATCTCCAGAAAATTGGCACAAGTTGACAGCTATAATTCTGCAATCAATTTTTTTCTTGTGGACACTGCAGCAACACCGAATTTTGCCACTACACGTGTGGTTTGAGTCCTGGAGGAGAAAGCCTACGTAAAAATTGTCTGCCCTCCCTGGCAATCTCTCTAATAAGGGGAGAATATACACTGACCTATAAACTCTGTATAACTCACACTACAAGAAAACATGTGAGATATCTTCGATTTCTCCTTTACCACATAGACATAACCTTTCTGCTATTGGTATTCTCTTATACCTGCCTTGGAGGAGTGCTGAGGGGAGAATGTTAAATCTGGCTCTGAAGAAAGCTGTTCTTTGTTTTGGGAAGATCAGATCATTTAGATATCTTGCGTATTCCCACACACCCGGTTTGATTCTGTCCCTACTGTGGAGAAGAAACCTATTTAGTTCTTCTTGGAATTTCATGTCCTTCATTCTATTGATTACTACTTGTTTTGCTTGGTCAAAGCCTAGGGCCATTAAGAATACCAGTGAGAGCCCAAAAGAGCCCAGCTTGTGATCTATCGCCTGTTTCCAGGCGGAGGGGAAGTTATCAGTCAACAATAGCGGGGACAGTCCCTCTGGAAAGAAATGCATTTATAGCCAATGAATGATCATCATCTTCCAGGCTCTTACCTGAATTTGAGGCATGCCTCAATTCTTAACTGGGTATTTGAAATTCCTTTGGGTGCAGCTAAGATGGCTCGCAGGAATTTGGTTTGTATGGTTTCTAGGAAGTCTTTCTTTGCAAGGATTCCTGTTTGTGCTCCATATAGCATTTGCGCCAATGTTTTGGTCTCAAAAAGTTTTAAGGCAGCAGGTACTAATTGACCTCCACCTGTGTAAAAGAAATGTTTAATTGCATTTGAGGACCTATAGGCTGCTTGCAATGTATGATCCAAGTGTGCTTTCCATGTCCCTTGTGAGTGAAAAACCACCCCAAGATATCTAAATGTCCTATCCTGTTCTAAACTATATCCTTCTATTTTCCAGGAGTATTGGCTAGGTCTTTTAGCAAAAACTAAAATTTTTGATTTATCAAAGTTAAGGACCAACTTATTCTGTCTACAATACCCAAGTATTGCTGTAATTGCTCTCTTCAGTCCTATGGGAGTTTGTGAAATAATAGCAGCATCGTCAGCATAAAGGAGAATCAGAATTTTGCGTTGTGCTAGGTTAGGAGGATGTAGATCAGGGTTCTGTAAGAGATCGATCAGGGGATTAATATAGAAGTTAAAAAGGGAGGGAGACAGGATGCAATCCTGCCGTATCCCTTTTTATACCCTTACTGGGCTGGTTAAAGTCCCTTGAGGATTACATCTCACTTTCAAGGTGGAATTAGCATACAATTTTTGTATGAGGAAAAAGAGGCGTTTATTGATAGTGCGTTTTAATTTCTCCCAGAGAGTGTTCCTGGATATCAAATCAAAGGCCTGCCTAAAATCAAGGAAGGCCATGAAAACAGAGTATTTTTTTTATACGTGTATTTTTGAACCAGATGGTAATGTACCAAGATATGATCCACCATTGATCTTCCTTCTCTAAAACCAGCTTGTTCGTCTTTGATTATCTCCCCTGAAATTAGCCAGTCTTGAAGTTTATAGTTTAGTGTTTGGCATACAATTCACTAATAATACTTAGAAGACTAATGGGTCTATAATTGCCTGGGTCATTTCTATTACCATTTTTATAAATTGGCATAATTGCTAATCCCCAATCTCTTGGCATATGGCCCATTTTATCTATAAATGTAAACAGAGATGCTAATAGTAGAGCCCACCAACTGGTGTTCTTTTTGATTATTTCTGGCAGGACATTATCAGCACCAGGTACCTTATTAGCCTTGAGGGCTCTGATCAACCGGGATATCTTTTCTGGTGTAACAGGGGGCCAGTAAGGAGTTTGATCCATACTAATTTGGCTCTCCTTAGTTACATAGTCGGGGTCTGTATATAGCTCTCTAAAATATTCTTCCTAGCCATGAATCAGTACCTGATTAGTTGGGGGCAGGGCAGGGGGGATTTCCCCAATCCTCAGGTGATGTACCAAAAAAGGGATGCATTTTTTGTCTTGACTGATACAATTCATTTATGCCAAGACTCCTTCAGAGCTACACTTTTCTTTTCTTTTAGAAGGGTCTTATATTGTGCCTTTAACTGCTTTAAGTAGTAAGTGTAATCCTCAGAAGGGGCGTTTTTACTTTTTCTCTACTCCCTTGTTATATATTCTTTTCAGTTGCACGCAATTTCTATCAAACCATTTTTTATTCTTTAAAACTGGCTTTTTGGAGTGAGCTACTATTCTGTTAGTGAGAACCGATTTCAAATTTGAAATTAAAGTTTCAAACCACTCTGAGTATGATCCTTCAAACTTATTTCTTAGTAGAGATGTACGTAGTTCTATGGTTTCTGGAACTAACATCCATTTAGTTACTTCTCGGTCCATTTAATTTTTACCTGGTTATTTTGGCTCTCTAACCTGGTTAGGTAGATTGAGCCAGCCCTTAGAAATGTCTGGTGTAATGTAAGAGTAAGGATTACTGAATTGTGGTTGCTTTCCAGTTGTGAGTCTACCTCCATTTCCTGTAAGAACTTCAGGCGGTTGTATTATATTATCCAGTAATCAACTATGGATTTTCTTCCTGCTCCCCGATAAATATATTCTGCTGGGTAGTTGCCCCATGTGGAACCATTAAGGATACAAAAGTCCAAACGTGCAGTCATCTGTCTTACACACAAACCTGCCCAATTTGCTTTAGGGTCTTTAAATTGTCTGGAATGCAGGGGTTCTCCTGGTACAATCTCATCATAATGGATCTTAATTAAATAATGCTTGATCGTTTGGGCCCATCCTAGCATTTAAGACCCCCCCTATAATTATTGCTGAAGTGGGGTAAAACCAAGAGGTACTACTGCAAACACACTCCAACAACACCTGCCAAAGGGGCAGAGCCTCCTGTTGATGGGAAAAGGTATGGTAATGTATGATAATTTTTATCTGAATTATATATTTTTTTTAAATCTATGTTCTTGAATATAAAATTATTCAATCTTGTATGTGTGTCAGTGTGTCAGTATATGTTCAAGTACATCCCCATCATCACAAACGCATATAAGTATAAACAATTTTGTTTCCTGTTATTTCTTCTGTGCTTTCCATATTGTACTAAGATTGGTTCTAATATTTTGACACACTGAGTGAGCTTTAATAAATTTATGTTTGAAATTCATAGTAAAAGAAAATGGTGAACCAAAGCAATCAGATAAAGCTAACAAACTCTGCTTCTCAAGATTTCAGATATGTTTATGATTGCTCTTCCAGGATTATTATTAAATTAAATAATTATGCCTGACAGATTGTGATCATGGCTTATATGACAGCTTATACAGTTAATTGCATGACATGATTCACAGGACAAATAGGATTTGAGAAGAGCTAGCCTGGAAGAGATTTCAACTGAATAAAGAGTAGGAGATAAAAGACTACATCCCTTCCAATCCATAACCTTGCTTTAATTCAGATATCTCTGCACTGTTTTAATCTTCAGCAAAAAATGCTGAAGGTCTATTTATAGAACTGACTAGTTTGATCTTACCTGTAGGAGTTTTGAAAAGTATTCTCATTTAGCTCAATAGCTCCCTCTGGCAATAGCTTTTTCCAGTTGCAATTGTAAGAAAACTATTAGCTCAATTTTTCTACAATATGAAAACAAGTTCTTGGGAGCTACATTACTTGGTGTGTAAAAATATGATAAAAGGCTGGCTTCAGCAGCATCTAGAACCTAATTTTGTAGAACAGGAATTAGACAACATGATTACAGCAGATTTCCTGCCCTATCTGACTTTTTTAAAGACTATTTTTGCATTTAAAAAATGAAATAGGAAGATCTCTTTCTTTAAATTAAAACATCAGACTTTAACACCATATCAATTCTCAACAAATGAACCAGCAAACATGTGGAAAACTCTTAAAAATATCACCGGCTATGGAAAACCTCCTTCCCAGGCTGAATGAAATCAACAACTGGCAAATGACCTGAACATGTTTTACTGCAGGTTTGAAAGGAAAGTACAGCCACCTATCTCCACAACCCCCATCTCAGACCTACTAACAACAGCCAAGCCTCCTACAACTGACCCCATCCCATTGGGTTCACAACCCCTAGTGACAGAAAAGGAAGTGCAAGACCTATTTCACAGACAAAAGCCAGGAAAAGCTCCAGGCCCAGACAAGATAACTCCTTCTTGCTTAAAAGTCTGTGCTGTCCAATTGGCCCCCATCTTCACCTGAATCTTCAATAAGTCGCTAGAGATGTGCTATGTTCCTTCTTGCTTCAAACACTCTACTATCATCCCAGTGCTGAAGAAGCCCATGATCAAGGAACTGAATGACTACAGACCAGTTGCTCTAAAATCTGTAGTCATGAAAACCTTTAAAAGGCTAGTGCTGTCCCACTTGAAAATCATCATGGATCCGCTGTTAGACCCCTTGCAATTTGCATACCGAGCAAATAGATCAATAGATGATGCTGTTAATATGGCTCTGCACTGTATCCTACAACATCTTGAATCTCCAAAGACCTACGCAAAAGTCCTCTTTGTAGACTTAGTTAAGCATTCAATATCATCATTCCAGACACTCTTCTAAGCTAAACCAGCTAATATTTACAGACCCCTTGCATCCTGGACATAAACTGTTTCAACTCATACCCTCAAAATGACGCTATAGAGCACTGCACACCAGGACAACTAGACACAAGAACATTTTTTTCCTGAACGCCATCACTCTGCTAAACAAATAATTCCCTCAACACTGTCAAACTATTTACTAAGGCTGCACTATTAATCTTCTCATCGTTCCTATCATCCATCTCCTTCCACTAATAACTGTATGACTGTAACTTTGTTGCTTATACCTTACGATTTATATTGACTGTTTCCTAATATGATTTGATTACTTATTTGTACCCTATGACTATCATTAAGTGTTGTACCTTATGATTCTTGACGAACGTATCTTTTCTTCTATGTACACTGAGAGCATATGCACCAAGACAAATTCCTTGTGTATCCAATCACACTTGGCCAATAAAATTCTATTCTATTTTATTCTATTCTATATTTCTTTACAAAACTTTTTTAATGCTTTGAGTCAGCATTGACTCTTGGCAACTGCATGGACTAGTTCTGGAGTTTTCTTGGTAGCATTTTCCGAAGCCACTGAGCCATCATGTCCCTTGGAGTTCATTTACCCATCTGTATATCCATTTCTTTTTACACTCCCACAAAAGTTATTTCTCTTGAGACTGGAACAAAGGACAGATACCAGAGGAGCTGTTCTCCCTCCCACCTTACTGTTTTTCATGGGGGCAGAGAAATGAAGCAGAACAGCTCCTTCACTACCAGTATCAAGATAGCATCAGAGACTGACATAGGAGACCTACTTCCTTTTGTTTTCTATGGTAAAAAATCAGGATATTTTGGTGCTGGAAAATACTGGTACCAAAAGATTCACTTCTTATCCTGGTTTCCTTGTTTTGCCTGCCACCCATGAGTTGGCAAGAGAAGTAGGAGTGATGGCTTTCTGGCATTGTGGGAGAGTCCTGTTTCTCCTCCTGCCAAAATGCAAAGGGCCCTGAACATCCACTAGGAACCAGAGAGCATGCGTCTGCACTCACCTCAGATAGTCAATGGGTGAAAGCCAGGCCCTCACCTCTTATGTCATTATGATTACATGTGAGACAGACCAGATAGTAGCAGCTTGTGCTGGGAAAACCCTCAAAACCCAGCTTCTGAAGTGGAGCAAGAAAAGACAAGCAGATACTGCCTTCGTGTTGGGAGAAGAGTAAGTTAAGGATGACACTGGGCATCAATGTCGTCATTAAACAGTTAGTGGGGTGTCTTTGTGCTGCCAAGCACAGCGTGAGCAAATGAGCCCCAAGACAAAATGAAGGGTTGGAGCTCTGGAGTGGCACATGAGCTTTGCATGCAGATTTCCTATTTAGGCCCCAGCTTCTCCTGTTAGTGCTGGGAAAGAAACCCAGGAGAATTAGTTACAGTTTGATGCAGTCAGTTATGAACTATGTAAAGCACAGTGTGAGCCAATACAAACCAGTTTCAAGTTTCTATTCAAAGCAGACAGGCATAAAAAGACAGTTACATTGTAGCAATGAACTCTGCCTGCACAAATTATAATTGCATCCTACAGTTTCCCCCTCCCTCACCCGCAAACAAAATTCTGGTGGACACTCCTGTATGGGATATTTTTTTGGGGGGGGGGAATACAACTATGCACTGCCATAATCACTTATTCTGAAACCTAATCATCAGGAATGCAACACTAAGGTCCCCCATTCGGTTCATTTATTCTTCTTCAATTCCGTTCAATTCTTCTTCATTTGTTTCCAGTGCAAGTTGCTGCCAAGATAGAACAGAATAAAATAACAAGAGTTGGACGGTACCTTGTAGGTCATCCAATCCAACCCCCTGCTCAAGCAGGGGACCTATACCATTTCTGACGACCAAAACACTCCTCCTTTTCCTGATGCTCTCTGGGTGGGTTACAACTCAACATCATCAGAAAGTTCGGCGGTTCGAAATCCCTAGTACAGGTCTCCTGAGTGAGCAGGGGGTTGGACTAGATGACCTCCAAGGTCCCTTCCAACTCTGCTACTGTTAAAATCATCCCCAGCCAGAATACCTAGGGATAGGCATGTAGCCCAGCACCTCCGAGAGCACCAGTTACAGTGTCTGAGCCATAGCAGTCATATAGATAGATAGATAGATAGATAGATAGAGATAGATAGATAGATAGATAGATAGATAGATATAAAGATAGATAGATAGATAGATAGATAGATAGAGATAGATAGATAGAGATAGATAGATAGATAGATAGATAGAGATAGATAGATAGAGATAGATATAGATAGATAGATAGAGATAGATAGATAGAGATAGATAGATAGATATAAAGATAGATAGATAGATAGATAGAGATAGATAGATAGATAGATAGAGATAGATAGATAGATAGAGATAGATAGATAGATAGATAGATAGAGAGAGAGAGAGATAGATAGAGATAGATAGATAGATAGATAGATATAAAGATAGATAGATAGATAGATAGATAGATAGAGAGAGAGAGAGATAGATAGAGATAGATAGATAGATAGAGATAGATAGATAGAGATAGATAGATAGATAGATAGATAGAGATAGATAGATAGAGATAGATAGATAGATATAAAGATAGATAGATAGATAGATAGAGATAGATAGATAGATAGATAGAGATAGATAGATAGATAGATAGATAGATAGATAGATAGATAGATAGATAGATAGATAGATAGATAGATAGATAGATAGATAGATATCAGTAACGCTGCCCATTCTCAGGTCGTCGGAGCGGAAACTTCCGCTTCCAAAGGACTTTCCGGTTTCATTATCAGCGCCTCCGTCTCGTAACAAACTTTCCGTCTGCACTTTCCTGACCACACCTCTTGGGGGCGCCTCCGTGCGCGCTTCGTCCACCGCGGGTTACTTTAGGCCAGCGAGGGACCCGCCTCTGCTTTTTCCTTGGCCCGCCCCGCCCTGCCTCCTTCTCCCAGGGCCGTCAGACCGTCGCGAACTTCGAGGCGACGCGAGGGGTGGGAGCAGCCGCGAAAGTTCTCTGGTGGGGCGAAACCGCGAGCCGGTTGCGGAGGTAAGTGTGGAAAAAAAGTGCTTTAGAGTCGTCGGTGGGCTTTTATCGGGGGTCGTTTGGTCCGCTGGGACTGAGTCCTACGGGCTTCGGATTTATGTATTTGTTTTTCTTTCGTCCTGGCTTCAGCCGAGCCCTGCAGAAACTTCTCAGGGCGTTTCGCTTTAATCCGGATAACAAAACTAAAGGTGCGCAGTTCGCTTTCAGAAGCAGGTTTTGTGCCGCTTGGTGTTTGCTTTCGTTCCGAAAACCACCGCGGAGACGGGGCAAAAGCAAAACCGGCGTTCAGCGGGTGCCACAAAGCCTGGAGCTTTGACTTTGGCTGATGGGAACGTAGACTCTTTCAACAGCTGGGGCGTAGGAACTTCTGCGCTCTTGTAAAACGTAGTACGTACTTACGACCGTCATCCAGGCCAACATTTCTTCATTCGGCGAATGTTTCAGCGAATTCCCTGATCTGCTACGAGGTTTTATTTTGATGGGGTTTTATATTGGCTGCTTTTAGGGTTTTTATTGTTATATATTTTAATTCTGTACGCCGCCCCGAGTCCTACGGGAAGAGGGCGGCATATAAATTTAATAAAAATAAATAAATAAATAAATAAAATTTCTGTTGTTTAAACGAGACATGTGTTAAGGGAGTTTTGCCCCATTTTACGACCTTTCTTGCCACGGTCGTTCAGTGAATCGCTGCAGTTGATGAGTTAGGAACCCAGTTGTTAAAGGAACCTGGCTTCCCCATTGATTTTGCTTGTCAAGAGGTCGCAAAAGGGGATCACATGACTCCTGGGATACTGGCGACCATCATCAATATGAGTCAGTTGCTAAGTGTCCAAATATCGATCACATGAGCACGTAAGTGTAAAAAATGGTCATCGGTCACTTTTTCCCGGGGCCTTGTGATTTTAAATGGTCACTAATTGAACGGTTGTAAGTTGAGGATTACCTGTACTTCTATACGAGGTCTATGCGAGGAAGCAGGGTGTGAGTGATTATTTCTGCTGACAAGCCTTCTGCATATGCTCAGAGGTTCTCTGGTGTTACTGTTTAGTCGACATAATTATGAGATTCTGTGACTTGTGACACAGACTTTGTCCAGAATAAGCCTAGCTCAGTGGTTGTCAACCTTTTCCTCACCACGGACCCCCTTTAAATACATTTTGTGGCCATGGACCACCAAGACTTAAGATTTAAATCATAACATCATAACGATATCGTGCCTCCCCCTCCCCAGGGGTCCGTAGACCACGGTTTGAGAACCATAGGCCTAAGTGATTTCAATGATCTCTTGTATAAGAAACTGTAGCCGTTAATAGGAATGGGAGGTTCTCTGCTTGCCGCTATGGAAATGTTTCATGGTTTGTTTGAGATATTGGGCAGTTGCTTTATTTTAATTTGGCTTTCTTTCTTCATTTTAATTTGGCTTTTTCTGGCTTTCCTTATGATGGGTGTGGTGCAGTGGTGAAATGTAAAATTTGTTATTATCAGTTCTGTGGCTTGGTGGTGGTGGGGTAATGTGACTGGGTGGGCGTGGCCAACTTTTTTTTTTTTTTACTTTTAAAAGCATTTTTTCTACAACCTCTTGGTTGTAAAAAAAACGCTTTTAAAAGCCTCTGACGATCCCAGCTGAGCTGCGCGATCATCAGAGGCTTTTTTTTTTTACTTTTAAAAACATTTTTTCAGCCGAAGATGTTGTAGAAAAAATGCTTTTAAGAGTTAAAAAAACAGCCTCTGATGATCACGCGGCTCAGCTGGGCATGTGGGGGGGGGATGGCGCAGGGATTTTTGCTACCGGTTCTCTGAACCACTCGCCGCCAACGCTACTGGATCGGGCGATCCGGTCTGAACCGGGAGGATTTCACCCCTGGTGCGGTGGCTATATAAAGGCCTGCCTCCGTGTGCTCCCTATCGCCTTTAGTCGGCATTTATCACAAGGCTCCCTCACTATCCAGGGTATGGCTAGAGGGGAGAGGCAGCAATTCTAACTGCAATGCTGTCCTTAGGGAGACTCACCTGCTTCCTATTGTGATATGGCTTAGGGCCAGGGAAACATTTATACTTAGGGCTCCATTGTCTAATTGCCTGACTTTTATTCTGGCTTTGTAAATACAGTATAAATTCCAAAGGCAACTAACAGAATTGGATGGCACATGTATACCTATCTGACCACATTTAACTTGCGTGTTTTACAGTAGTTTGTGAGCATATGTATTTATATGTGGAGGTTCTAATGTTGATTGCTGCCTAAATAATTTATTGAAGGGCGAGTATCAGTTCTTCAAGTCAGGGAACTTTCATCCTGAGTCAGGGTGGCTGGTAGGCATGATGGAAGGCTTAGTTTCTAATAACATCCTTGGGTTTTCCAGTTGGGGGGAAGCTCCTTTATGCAGCAAAAGGTGTTGATTGGAAAACGGAGGGAGAAGGAATCTGCATTTCCTCTATGGAAAGCTCAAGGAGCAATAGCAATAAGACTTATATACTGCTTCACAGTGCTTTATAGCTCTCTCTAAGCCAGTGGTTCTCAACCTGTGGGTCGGGACCCCTTTGGGGGTCGAACAACCCTTTCACAGGGGTCGCCTAAGACCATCAGAAAACACATATTTTCAATGGTTTTAGGAATAATTTTATGGTTGGGGGTCACCACAACATGAGGAACTGTATTAAAGGGTCGCGGCATTAGGAAGGTTGAGAACCACTGCTCTAAGCGGTTTACAGAATCAGCATATTACCCCCAACAATCTGGGTCCTCATTTTACCGACCTCGGAAAGATGGAAGGCTGAGTCAATCTTGAGCTGGTAAGAATTGAACTGTTGAACTGCTGGCAGCCGACAGTCAGCAGAAGTAGCCTGCAGTATTACATTCTAACCATGCGGCACCATGGCTCTTGGAGGCTTCCAAACTAGACTGAGCCTGAATATCTCAGAAATATCTAGTAATTAGTGATAGAAGAAGCCACCCCGAACTTGGTGACCATTAAGAATGATGTAATGGGTGGAACAGGTCCTTCTCTGACTTTTATTGGCCAGCATTGCCTAATCTTTAATCTTGCCAGACACCAGCAAGAGCAGTGAGGTTTCTGATTTAGCCATCCCAATCCTAAAATTGGTAATGTTGGGTTCCTTTTTTAGTCTGTTACACAACAGTGTAGCTAAAAGTTATGAAACCAGCCAAAATTGTCTGGGAAAACATGGAACTACAAATAATTCTCAACTTAAGACCATTTGTTTAATGACATGTAAGTTATGATGGCAGTGGAAAAAATGACTTGCGATAGGCCCTTGCACTTAAAACTGTTGCTGTGTGCCTGCAGTCACATGATCAGAATCTGAGCACTTGGCAACCAGCATGTATTTATTCCAGTTGCAGCATCCCAGGGTCATGTGATCATCATTTTCAATTTTCTCAGAGGACTTCTCACAGTGATGTGCTTTAAGTCATGAGTTCACAAGGATCGTCTGGCTGCTGTTGTGGAAGAATTGGCTGACTCTGTGTCATTACTCAGGGGACGCCTAAGTGTACGATTCTTACACTCTTTGGGGAGGCTTCTTCCCTGTCCCCATATGAGCACATATCAGGAGAAAACCCTCAGACTTTCTCCATCATGTATTGACTGTAAATAGTCTATCTTTGAATTTGTAAATAAAGTAAATCGCTTCATATTTGCTCATTGGGAATGTCATTGTGATATCTTTTGTAACAATTGTTAACATATGCTAAATAAATAAAACTCAGGGGACTTCCAACAAGCAAAGTCAATGGAGGAAATATTTCTATTTGTTTATTAACCATGAACTGTGAATTTAAAGACCAGGGTAAAAAAAGTCATTAGATTGGGTGCAATGCAAGGACCGCATTGCTTAGCGACGAACATTCCAGGCCCATTTGTGGGTTGTAAATCGAGGACTACCTGTAATGTTTTGAGGCTGAAATTGCTTCATCGTGGATTTTAAGAAACTAGCACAATGGGTCCTGGCAATGTTGAGAATATGGATGCCCAGGTCAGCTCTCCTACATAAAGCATTTGTCTTGTTCTTATACTGTTCATAGACATCGGCAGGTGTAATTGTATGTTACGTACAACTCGTAGTGAATTTAGGAAGTGAGCTACAATAGTGATTTCCCTTCTCTCCCAATGTAATCCCTTGATTGTGGCTAATGCAGTGCCATAAAAAAATAAACAGAAAAGTAGGGGCCATGAAGGGGGAATATCCTTGAAAGAAAATGTAGCTGGATAAGTAGCATTTTAATTCCACGGTGCTTCACATTGCAAATTGTACTTTCAGACCACACCTGTCTCGTTTGCTAATGTCTGCAAACAAAACTGCTTTTGAAAGTGCAGGCGTAGCAAAAAATAATACAGAAATGACCAAATCTCTTTGGGGGGAAAAAAACTGAAAGTGTGAAATAGGTCTCATCCCATCTCTGAAGGGTATGATTCTTTCTTTTTTATGTGCCCCTTCTTAGCTCCAACCATTTTTGTTTAACCATCGATTAAAGTAAGTGGCCTTCAGCTCCTTCAGAATCACAGGGTTCAAAAAATATAACCTGTGTGCAACTGTTTTAGATCAAGAGTTACTCCAGTCTTCCTGATGTAACACTGCCCAGATAACTTCATCTACAAGTCCCAGAATCCCAAGCCATCCCAAGCAGGGGTGGGTTCTACTTACTACTGGTTCACAACGGGATCGCGGGCACGTGCTTGCTTCGCTCACGCGTGCGCCTTCTGTGATGCGCAGATTGCTAATGATGACATCCGGGGCAGTGGGCGGGGCCTCCCACCGGTTTTACTACCGGTTCTTGCGAACTGGTCCGAATGGGGAGCAACCCACCACTGATCCCAAGTCTCCTTCAACTTGACATTATCTTCTCTGCTGACTGACAACAGTCCCCTTGAATGAAAAGGCTCTACCAGTAAGCTGGAGCCCTCCATTTTTTCAGACTGTTTTCATTGACGGGATTGTAATGCCCTCACCCTCCCCATGGACAGGGTGAACATGCAGTG